CCCTCTCGTGGTAGTGTAAGAGGGGTGGTGGTTAACTTGTTGCACTACCCCGACCCTTGTTCGAGTTCGGGCGGGGGCGCTGATGAGAGCCAGGCTAGGTTAAAACACAGTACAGTTATGCCTTGATGAAAATACCCTCTGATTAAGGTGATGTATGACTGATAATTGAATTGTCTAACAATCATTTGGGGGATACGAGTCTCTTGAAGAAACTCAAAGCCAATCAGTCCTGGTCGAGGTCAAAATTGAGGACCACCCCACTAAGGATGAGAATACCTTTTGGGAAGCAATGCTGTGTGAAATTCATGGGAAATATGAGGCCTGTTCATATGGCTTTGGGAAAATTCCTCGTATTATCAGATATATTGATAGTCTCGAAGGCCTACTACTTATAAAACGGAAAAAGGACTTATCGCGTGTCTGGCAGGTCGTGTTGGAACCCCATTTCTGCCAACAGTCACTCAGGCTCTAACGCAATCCGCCGATTCGCACCGTCCCAAAGGAGGAGGAGGAGCAGATGAGGCTGTCGAATTCGGGCCCCGTGTCCCTGCGACACCATCTCCGGACTCGGCTAATGTCAAGGTGCCCCGTCACATTGCAAGGGTGGGAGGGGTGGGAGAGGCTGATAGGAATGGAAGAGCAGACCGGCTGGATGGCCTCGAAGATGTGGCCGGGTGGACTGTAGAGGCTGCGGTGCCGGCAGGATTGAAATAGTCTGGACGATTAGGCAATCCGTCGAGACGAGGCTCAGTCAGGGTCTCAAAGTAAGCGTCCACTGAAAGATGCTTACCCCTTCTTCTTTCTGACGAGCCTTGAGTCAGGCAGTCGGCAACGGATTCGGCCATCTCGGCCCGGCTGTATGACAGTTGGCCGAGGTAGGCGGGCTGGAAAGCGGTCTTGAGGGTGTACCGTCTCAACTTTGGCCTACTAATTCATTTACATGGTCAACGTGCCCCTTGTAATTTCTGCCTCCTACACACCCTGGTCTCGCATAATTATGCACTGACACACACACAAATAAGCGCACGCACACGCATCAATTCATTTTTATGTACATGTGGACATTAATGTGTATACTCCCAGGTTCACGTGTCGTATTCACTGAGCCCTGTCAAAACTTTTGGACGCGTATTTCCGAGAACTGGATCAGGCAAGGCAAAGTCAGCCTAAAGCCAAGTGGGCACGTATCAGGGTAACTCGCTTCGTTTCCCAACGGGGCCCTCAAGATTTCACCATTTCATCCCTTCTTGTGTGTGTCCGCCTCGTAAGGCCCTTGATGTTTGGAGCCTGCTTGATGTATATGCATTTGTGTTTTTATGTGATTTTTATGTGTCTTCTGCATGCACGCACTACTTGCGTGTTCACGCCGGACGAAAACAGGCACGTAGGTGTGTGCCTATGCGTGTTAACATGCCTGTATTGATCTTGTGTGTGTGTGTGTGTGTGTATGTGTGTACGAGAGAGAGAGTTTGTGTCCAAGCCAGCTTGTGTAGGTGTATATGTGTGGGAGAGAGAGCTACAGAAGAGAGGGCAGACATAGGGTACAATCGCAGTGACTGCGTCTAACCAAAAGGGTGGGGCCTGCACACCACGTCGACGCAAGGCTATGAATACACACAGACACATAGAAATGTACACAAAAGTGGGCCGGAAGAGGGAATGAGCGTGGAAGTGACCTTTCATCTCAAGAGGTAGCGGAAATACTCTGCCTGCATATAAGAGAGTATTCTCGGGTAGGCCGATTACGCTTTACGCCTGTTTACATGAAAAGCACACAAGCAAAAAAGTACACTGGGATGTTCCGCAGTCGTCTCCAGGCTCAAAGTTAATTGAGGGCATCTGGGCAATAGTGGAGGCTGGGTGGTGAGTGATGGTGGTGCTTAGGGTGCGGTCCCCTCCCCAATCCATCTTGTACCCCAGGAGCATGCTTACTCAAATGGCAACACTGCGCGAATAGCCGGGCTGTATCAATGCGGAAAAGAATGGGGGCCATGGTGACAGCTAAGAACATGGATTGTTATCTGGGTCAGCA